AGTGCTGTCATTCGCTGAGTGAAGGAATATAGGAGGGAAGGTAGGGACTCGGACGGGCGGCGTCGGAAGTGTTTGCAGGGCGTCCAGTCAAACGTCCTCTCGGTGGGTGGACATATGGACCCTCAGGAGAGCCAGGGGCTACAGCACAGCCCCGGGTCCTGGTCAGTCAGTGCAGTTCCGAGCGTCATTAACATGTAAGCGACTGTGGGTCAGGACACACAGGGAGAGCGTGGAGAAGGAGTGAGCAGAGGCCCAGCGGCAGAGCTGCAGAAAACATGGCCGTTGACGGGCGGAGCAAGGATCAGCCCTGAGAGACGAGACGTCTCTGAGCAGGTGGGACAGGATGAAAAATGAGAGGTAGAGGTAGAGGGGCTAACTAGAGTTCAGGCGGCATCTTTCTTGACTGATTGATTTTAGAGAGAGAGGAATGGGGGCAGAGAAAGGGAGAAGGAAACATCAGCCTGTTTCACTTATTTAGTCATCCATTGGCTGACTTTTTTAAAAAAGATTTTATTTATTTATTTTTAGAGAAGGGAAGAAAGGGAGAAAGAGAAAAACCAATGTGTGGTTGCCTCTCGCACGCCCCCTACTGGGGACCTGCCCTACAACCCAGGCCTGTGCCCTACACTGGGAATTAAACCGGCGGCCTTTTGGTTCACAGGCCGGTGCTCAACCCGTTGAGCCACACCAGCCAGGGCCATTGGTTGACTCTTGTATGTGCTCTGACTGAGGATCGAACCCGCAACCCTGGCATATTGGGAAGACGCTCCAACCAATTAAGCACCCTACCAGGGCTCAAGGGGCAGTTTTAAGAAGAGTATAGTCAACTGTGTCAATTGCCACAGAAGACACAGCTGGAGAAGGGCCCATGGGCTGTGGCTGTGTGGATGTCACCTGTATTCCTGACGGAGCCAATTTCAGTGCGGTGGGAAGGTGGCAATTCAGCAGGCCAGGTGTGGAGAAGGTAGGGACAGTGCGTGTGGGGGAGGCTTTCCAGAAGGGTGTCTGGGAAGGAAGGGACAGACAGGGTAGGAGCCGAATAGGACTGCAGGCAACAGCTTTTGTTTTCTCATTGTTTGTGTTAAAATGGGAGTAGCTTGGGCCTGTGTATACGTGGTGCCACCGCAGCAAATAAGGGACCCAGGGCCGCAGCCTCCAGTGGAAGGAAGTCCCCGCCGGTCAGGCGCTAACCCTCTGCGGTGAACAAACAAGCAAACCCATACATGCATGGCGTGGTGATGGGCACCTGGAGAAACTGCGGTGCTGGCTGGGGGCCAGAGAGAGCCTTTCCGTTGAGGCGGCATCCGACCAGAGGCCTGAGGGAAGAGGGGAGGTGAGCAGAGACCAGGGGAAGTCATTCCAGGTAGAAGGAACGTCCAAACTGAAGGCCCAGACGTAGGAACGGGCTGGGCACTTTCAAAGAATCGCGAAGACACGGGAGCAGCTAGAGCCCTGGAGAAGGTCGGAGGGGCTGAGAGCTGGCAGGGGTCCTTGCAGCCCACGGTAAGGACTTCGTTTTTTACTTAACTTCCTCCCCCACCCCACACACAAATTCAGTTGCTAATACAGGAGTGAGATTATTGTCCCGGAGGCCAGCAGAGCGGATTTGGAAGAGAGAAATCTTCCGGCAGGAGAACAGAAGGGCAAGAACAGACTCCCCCAGATGGCAAGGAGTGTCTGAGGGTTGCTACCGAGTGGCCTCGATGGGTTTTTTTTCAGTGACCTATGAAGCAAGGTAGTGAGGAGACAGGGACAGCGAGGGGAAAGTTGCCAGGCAGAGAGCCGGAGGACAGAGGGGGGTTTGGAAGAGCTGCCAGGGTGGGGAGTGGGGGGGTGCCAGGCTCGGGAGGCCTTGTGAGGGGCCGCCTGCTAGGACCCGGCCTCTGCGGGCGTCCTGCCCTGACGGCTGCGTCAGGTCGCCGCACTGCTCAGAGGCCGGCTGCGGGCCTGTGGCCGCAGGGTCAGGGCGGGGCGGGAGAGCCCTGGGGCACGGGGGTCGAGGGGCACGGTGAGAGCGAGAGCCACTGGACCAGGGACACCTGAGGTCTCACCACACAGGGACAAAGATGACCCAGAAGAGACTCATAGACGCAGCGGACTCAAAGGGGAGAGGCAAGAGGCCTCGGTGTTACAGAAATCCAGGGCAGTGGGAGGAAGGAAGCGAACGAGTAAAGGAGAGGAGGGTGTGGCCAGACGGGGCAACTGCGGGATTTGGGTTCCCAGACACAGATTGGTTGGAGTCGCGTTGAGGCTCAGCGTGCGGCTCAGAGGGGAGGGAAGCTGGACGTCAGTAGAGCTGACGCAGATGTGGAGGCCAGCGCAGGGCTCATGGAGATAAGGAATTAGAACGGCCGCCACGACAAGGCTGAGCGATGATGACAGTGGATGTGGACAGAAGGCCTGGGAGCCATATTTTAAAGAACTTGAAGAATGTGGGGCCACAAGGCCAAAGATGACAGCAGCAAAGGAAAAGGAGGGGTGGTGAGCAGGGCCGCACGGGTCCCCAGCAGCCTCTCCTGCAGCCAACTTAGAGAAGTGACAGCAGCTGCACTCGCTTCTTCCGCAACGGCTGGTCCTTGCCTCCACTCAGGCCTGTCCTCTGCCTGGAACCCCACCCTCTTCGGTCTCTTTAAATCCCGCCTTCCAGCCACCCAAGGGCACATTCCCATTTTTACAACAAAAGGCGTGATGTCCCCTCCCTCTGCCTGCCACACAGGTCTGTCTGTATCGTTGCCCCGAGGCTGAGTGGCGAGCCGCTCCTGCGGTGGACGCCTGCACCTCTTCCCCGCCTGCCCCACCCCCTGCAGCTTCCACCTGCTGCACTGGGCCTTGTTCACACCCTGGGGTTTGGCAGAGGAGGCTGTCCATGAGTATGTGTCACATGAATGCCACAGGCCCTTCCCCTTCGCCAAGGACAGACATCGCATCTGAACAACCTCCTCCCCAGGCCCGGGGGACTCTTAGAAATGGCGAGTGTCCCCGTATGACTTAGGCACATCGTCCACATATCCAGTGGGTATAAACCAGCCATTCTCCTCTCCATATGGGCACGGTTACTTACATCTTCCTGTTTCCGTTTCTACCTTATGCTTTGCTTTGGGGGGTGTATTTAGGTGAAGCAAGAGAGGGCTGTGTCCTTACAACACAGCCAAACACTGAATCCTACCCCTTTGCAACTCCCCCACTTTGTCTGCAGAAAGGCAGTTCGTGGGGGTTCCCATTAGGTCACCGTATTTCCCTCAGGTGAGACCTCCTTGTTTCTAAGAATCTTTCATTCCTCTTCGGCACCGGGATCCCTGGAGACAAGCCAAAGTGGCTCCCATTCTCACGGACCAGGAGCCAGGGCAGCCCTGGGGAGGGTACGGCGAGCAGAGGACAGCCTCTCCGATCGCCGCATTCCCTTCATTCCCAGTGAAGGGGCTCTGTTGTCAGTGAAATGCAAGATCATTTTAAATGTCATCGCTCGGCACCCAGCTGGGGCTCCTGAAAGCAAGCTGCCTTGTTTCTGAATCCAATGTCATTGTCTCCCCCACAGAGCTGCCTGCACGCTCAAGGAGACGGCTTCTCTCTAAAGGAGGTGGATGGAGAAGAAACAGGCAGCCACAGAGAACCGTCTCATCATAACTTCTCCGGCCCTTCCGAGACAGTCAGTTAAATTAAATAATAACGGGCAAGGGCACATCGCTCCCCACAGAGCCACGCGAAGCATTGCCTTTGGCGTGGGGCGCCCAGAAGACGCCGAAGGAGATTGACATAGTGATGTCATCTAGGGGCTCTGACAGGTGTCCCAGCTCACCCCTGGGACGTGAGGCCGAAGACCCAGACACAGGTCAGGGCAGGCGAACAGCAGGGCGCTAAGATGCTGAGGAAGTCCTGCCAAGTTTCCTCGAAATGTGGCCACACTGTCGCCATCCCCAGCCGCCGAGCTTCCTTGCGGAATGACACCCAGAAACGTTCCCTCCGGAGGAAAGGAGGCCCGGAGGGGCAGGAGCAGGCACCTGGCCACAGGTGAGATCTCTGTGGCTATAAGTGAATAACCCGCCTCTTCGTGGGAGCGGGTGCCGGGAAAGCGCAGCCCCCTCATGAATCTGGACTTCAGTTCCCGTGGTGAAGACTGATGTCAAACAGTGCAGGTCAAAACAGACCTTCACGACATCCAGCATTCCCACAGAGGGAAGGGGAGCCGTGAGCAGCCTCTCCGCCGGTGGCCCAACTGCGTTCGCAGCTGGAAACGATGTTCTCAGCAAGGCTGCTTGGGTGTGGTCACACCTGCGGCCGTTTTTAACAGGGGCGCTGCGCCGCGAAAGTTTTCACGCTGCCAGCAGAAAGAGGGCCTTTGTAAATCTACATTTGACATTTGAAAACAGGTTACAGTATGGGTACAGGACGGAACGATGGGTGTGCTCGACAGAACGGAAGTACGTATTTCTCCTTCCCCTTAAAGAAGGAGAGGCTGACGTTCCGGGAACATTACAATGGGCCCAGTGCTTTGCACGCCTTAGCGTCCCATTTCACCTCACCTCAAGCCTGGGAAGTATGGACTGTTGGTGTCAAACATTTCCTAAGTCAGGAGGCAGGGCTCCAAAAGCTTGAACCACTTGCCTGAGGTCACACAGGCAGCAAACGGCAGAGCCAGCCAGACTCCAAAGCCCACGTTTGTCCTGCTATGTGGCTCCATCTCCTCAAGTTCCAACACATGTTTTTGTTACCTGTTCCTGTACACATCTGCAAACCTTCCTGCTATAATAATTTTTATGGTTTTGGGAAAACGCTGCTGGAAGAGCCAAGGAGGGATGGAAAGAGTTTTTTGATAGGTACAGAAATGATTGAAGATCATCTTGAGGCATTTCTAGGAGATACAGTACAAGAGCACAGTCTCATGGTTAGGTGGTATCTCATGCATATGGGATGGGGTGTCCTTCTGCATCATACGGAGGAGACATGTAAGTTGTATTTCAAGCACAGACGATAAAGGGCCTGCATTCTCCCCATTTTTGTCCTCAAACAACAGTCTCGATGGCAGTGGTATGGCCATTGTTTTCCTGGCGCCTGGGTTGCATTTCATCTTTGAAAGCCCTGGTCAGAACCACCTTCAAGGACTCCTTGAACCGCTTCTTCCGACTGCTTCCTACGAAGAAGTAAATAACAGGGTTGGCACTGCTATTGATCGTGGAGAAGAGCAGGGAAATGCTGTGGAGATTCCTGAACGTCGGCCAATACTCATAGTACAGCAGGTAGAGGAGCCTCATGGGCATGGCGAAAATGAGGAAGATGATGATCGTGACCGCGATGACCAGGTACAGCTTTGAGGAATGGGACGCCCATGAGTTCTTTCGGATCTTGAGCACCAGGACAGTGCTGGACACCACCATCAGCGGGGTGAAGACCAGGAAGCTCAGGAGGGCTGTGAAGATGATCACGGCCCTGCAGCCCCTTTGCGAGTGACTCCGCGCTTCACTGTCGATGCACATGACGTATTCCATGGTGGTCACTAAGCAAGAAAGTGCCCACAGAAGGGCACAGACGAACGCCGACTGGTGCTTGGAGCGATGACATCGGTACCAGATGGGGTACAGGACGGACAGGCATCTCTCCACACTGATGGCTGTCAGCAGATAGAGGCCTGTGTTGTAGCCGAACAGAAATGTCACTGACAAGGTGACAGTTGTGTAGTAATAGCCAGAAGAGAGCTCAAAATAAGAAGCATAGTCGACAGTCAGGATAAAAATACCGAAGAGCAGAGAGATGTCTGCAATCGACAAGTGGGTGATGTAGACGGTGAAGGGGTGGTTTTTCATCCGGAAGCAGAGGAACCAGAGGAGAACTCCATTTTCCACGAAGCCCAGGGGGGCGATGCTCATGATAACCCAGTACACCACTGGGATGTCGTGACGCGGCCCCCTGGCTGAGATGTTGCTGGGGGCTGAGGCGTTCGCGGGCCCCTCGGCCACCGGCAATGTTACATTTGATACATCCATGTGGGGGCCTCAGGCTGGCGCTCCTCAGGGAATATTCTGCAAATAAGCCAAACATCAATCAATCAATCAATGAAATCGATGAGTTGGAGGAAAAGGGAGACTTTCAGCTGTGGATCACAGCCTCTGTGGTCTAATCACGCAAAGGCTCTGATCGTGCCAAATGTTCCACACATGTAACCTTCCTACAGAAAAATGCGGGCTGTACAATTCTGTTTCCATGATGATAAAACTAGACACCACCAAGAGAACGGATTTAATAACTCTGATCCCCGAGGAACTTTAATTCTGCATTATTACTTGCTGGTGGCGGAGTGCCAAAGGGACCCAGCAAAGCAAGGGCGCCAGATTCCTGGTGTCTGTCTCCGGCCCGGCCCGAGCTTCCTGAACGGCATTTGGAAGATCACCGCATCTCCTGTACCCGCTGGTCTGGGGCACACAGTTAATCCCATTAGAACGCGAAGACAAAACACAGGTTTGGGCAAATGGTTTTTGTTGTTTTTTAAAGCATAAAGTGCCGTATTCATCGGTAAATGAGAGGGAAGCGCTCACAAAATTATGTTCGATAGTGTGCCAAATAATTTTGAAAGTGCGAACAATTAGAGGCATTTATTTCGTGTGGTCCCAGCTCTGTGTGAAGCTGGCACCTGCTCAGACTAGGTGAGCTCTGCAAACCAACACTGCGACAGATGGCAAGTGCCACAAGCTGTGTTTACATCCCCGCGAAGCGTGGGGCGGGCCGCGCAGGAGCACGCTGTTGACAGACATTAAAGAAAGCACTAACCTGAACCCAGTAAAAATGCTAAATATTTCTGATGGCAAAGATTCTCAGAAACTTTCCCTCATGCTTTCCGAACTGCAAAATGAATATTTGCACAGCCCCTCCCGCCTTCCTCTTATATCTCTCTTACACACACACACACACACACACACACACACACACACACACGGTCTGGCACAAATAATGCCCCCTTTTTTTAACAAAATCTTTTATTACAAAATCAGAAGCAAGAAATTCTGTGACCTAACACTATCACACTCAAGAGCACCATGTGACATTTTAGGTGAAATGTTCAAATTAAAACTAAATTATTACGCCGATATCATTACCCTATAAACCACACGCAAGCAGGCTCCACTTCCGCCGGACCCTGTGTATCGCGGCCCCGAAAGTGTGGGTTCAGCCCTCTGCGTTAGCTTGGAGCGGAAGGGGCAGACAGAAGAGCAGGCAGGATTTTGCTTACAGAAGCCACTGCCACCACCAGAGAATGGAGCGGGGAAGTGGCCAGCAGAGAGCACTTCCCATGTTGCACCTCTAACTGGACCTTGGCTTTTTTTTAGGTTCTTTGGGGGAGGCAGGGTGCTAAAATATTCTTCTTTGCTTTTTCAGCTTTGCCCTTGCAGACTAGGGCCCCCTGCCCACGAACCAGGGCCCCTACCTCTGCCAATAATTAACTTTGAGGAAGTTGATCAAAACAGTATTTTGAATTAGCAGATACCTGCCTTTTGCCCAGAACAGGACCTAGGGGTGCTGTGTTGTGAGCTTGAATGTCTCTGACGACATTAGGCATGCCTGGGATGGACTCAGCACCTCCCTGGCAAGGGCAGGGCTCCGAGTTTTGATCGCAGCATGGCTGTGTGTCAAACCTGGCCCAGCAGGTGGGCTGGAGAAAGGGACAGCTGCCTCCACAGTGGTGCGACCCAGAAGCCCAAGCGGTTCCTGCCCCCGCTGCCCTGACCCCCGTGCCCACGAACACGCCCTCAGCTGTTCTCCCGAGATGCTGGGGATGATTCTCACTGGGGCAGATTCCTCTTTCATTTCAAAATTAGACAGAAGGGAGAGCCCGAGACCTCAGAAGCCCGCCCAGGGGCCAGAGCCCACGACGCTGTGGCACGGTGGACCGAAGGCCTGCAGCTGAGACCAGCTCGCTTCGAAGTTTGCAGGTGGGACAGGCACATCCCCCACATTCGCCCGTCAAATACTAACTCAGGGCAACTCCCTGCCCGGCTCTGCTCAAGGCCCTGGGATACGACAGTGAAAGGTTGGTCTGAGGGGTCTGTGGGCCTTGAGGGGAGGTCGCCCTGCAGGAAAGGAACTGCTGGCGGAAGCTCGAGAGCAAAGCCTGGTTAGGACCCTTTGGTCAAGCCTGGTCTACAGGCTGTGCTTCTCCAACTTCAGCGCTTAAAGATTACCTGGGGTAGCTTACTAAAGATGCAAATTCCAGGGCCCGTCTGTTTCAGAAGGCCTGGGGTGGGGCCCTGGATTTTCACTGCCCAGGAGCTTATGATTCAGGCAGGACACAGGACAGGGTTTGAAACACTGCCATTTGCCCGAGGGGCCATTCCAGGTGCTCGTGCATGGCTGCCGTGCGACCTGGGCTGTGTCTTAGGGCGCTGACCCGGGTCACAGGCTCAAGGCTGGATGGAGGGAGCGGCAACGCCAGTAGGGGGCACTGAAAGAGTCCTGAGCGCCCTAATATTTAACTAGGATAATGGCTGAAGGAGAGAGTGGATTCCGGAGACATTTCAGAGAAGACTGGCTGGGCCTCAGTGGCTGTGAAGGGGGGGCGGGGGGGTGGGAGAGGAGAGAGTCAGTGGACTGAGTTTTCTGTCTGAGGAAGCTACATAGCTAAACTGCCAACGACTGGGACAGGGAGGGCAATGAGCGGCCGCGAGGGGAAGCGGTAGGCGGGGACTGGGCGGGTGGCGAGGGGAGTGAAGCCGAAGCCGCAGGAGGGCGTGGCTAGAGCAGGTGCAAGTGTGCTCGTCTTCGTGTGTCTGGCTCTCAATGAATTACTTGTTTACTGAGCCGAACTTGACAAAGCGAAGAGTCACGGACACACAGATGAGACCTTTAGAATATCCTTCATTACGGTGCATTTGCCTGAGTGTAAATTTCAAACGCCGTGGGAACTAGACCACGTGCTCCTCCTCCGTTCCCGCGTCTCCGGCCCAGACGCTTGGGATGAGTCTCCTGTCTCCTTGGTCCCTGCACAATCTGTCCTCCCGACCAGTCACACTGCGTCCCTTCCTCTCCCCGCACTCCCTCTGCCACTCTGGTGTTATCCTCACCGCCCGTATTTTGCCGTGTATAATGCACACCCACGTTTTTGGCCCAAACTTTCAGGAAAAAAAAAATCTTTTGTTTTACTATTTGAATTCAATTATTTATTTATTTATATTTGGATACTTCTTTTTTGTATTAGAAAGGAATTTTAGCATTTATTTGGGAACCTACGGATATGGCTACTGCTTTCTAGAGTTACACTTTTAATGCATAAGTATAAATAAAATAATTAAACACATCTATATAGATAAGGAATTAGTATTACCTGTGTATAATGTGCATCCTTATTTTTCCCTCAAACATTTGGGCAGAAAAGTGCACATTATACACGGCAAAATACGTACCTCCGTAGTCACCACATTCCTTCTCAGAAAAGTAAAACGCTGTCTCCTCATTAAAACGCCAACTCCTTGCAGGCAGGACCTGACCTTACTCACGTCCGGGTCTGCAGCACTTGGCAGTGGCACTCAATAAGCGCCCCCTGAATTCGTCCAAGACAGGAAGCCACCCCTACAAGCCCTGAGGAGGCAGCCTCGGGCCTGGGCTCTCTCAGCTCATTACAAAGCTCGCTACCGGTTGGAGCACAACTCAGGAATCGCTTAATACATAGATTTCAATCATGATGGGATTGGAAAGCAAATAAAAATCCCATCAAAATTAATCTCATTAAAAACTAATCATAATTCTCCAAACCGTTGTGTCACAGAGGCGTTTGATTTGGATGAACACATCGCTCAAAGTCACATTCCCAGTCTTCCCAGACCAAACCACACTCCAGCCCCACCCCTTGTCTTTCCACCCCCCCCCCCCACAACCCCGGGCCCCAGTGAAGGGGCGGACGGCAAGAAGTGCCTGAACACCCCGGCCCTCCCTGCTCGCCGCCCCCTGACCCCTGCCCTCCTCCGGCACCTTGGTCGTGTTGCATAGTATCCACCTCCGCTGGAGGGGGACTGGGACACGCAAGGCTGGGAGGGGCAGGAGGACAGAGGGGCCATCACTGTTCGCTGACCAAACTTTCGCACGCAGCAGGATTTCATGATGCTCGGCACCCAGCGAGCTCCCGCGAGGACGAGCCGTGGGCAGCGCGCCTTCTGTGACCCTCGTCCTGGAGCTGCGCGCCCTCTGCCCAGACTCGCACAGGGTGGTTCTGTGCAGCTCTGTTTTCAGACGGCAGGCATTCCTGCAGGGGCGCCGGTGACCTGGCAGTGGCAGGCTGGGGCGGCAGGACAGCTCAGCCCACCAGCCCCCTGAGCCCCTGGCGTGGCCACTAACACAGCAGCCTGGCCGTGGACGCCTCAGCTGGGGACAGGGGAGTGGGTGACGGCACCCCAACAGGCAACATCCCAGCAGAATTGTTGCATCCTCCCCTCCTCTCACAGCAGAATCCCTGGTTCTGCCACGCAGCTCTCCTCCGTGCCAGCTTTGCATCCTCTGACCAGCATGGGGAGGCTAATAAGGAAGTGTCATTGTCCCCAAGGAAGGTGTTAATATCCCCACGTCATAGAGGAAAAACTAAGGACCAAGAAGCAGGTCAAGTTCAGAGCCACTGGGTCACACAACTGCACTGGGCCACACCGCTCACGCTCACGGTGTCTGGCGCTCCCTGGTCCCGGCAGGGAGTCGGGGCCGAAGGCTCACACGGATCCTGATCGCAGAGCAGGCAGGAGTCCTGGGCCCCGCTTCTCATGGAGAGCTGAGCCAGTCACCCACGTAAAGTCGGAAACCAAACCTCTCACTCCGCAGACCACTCCAGGGAAGGCAGAGAGGCTGTGAGAGAGCCGACAGCCCGACTAATTCGAGGAAGGCGCGTCGCTGGGAGCTCCTTCTGACTCGAGCGCTTGCACTCTGCCCTGGAGCCTCATCCTATTTTTAAGACCTTACCTTTTATAGCCTCTCTTACATGTTTTCCAATCCAGTGTGCTGCTAATGCTTCCTA